ACTTTGCTCTGGAGGTTGAGAGAGGGGAGAGCATTCGCCCCTATCCCAGCAATAATTTTTTCTTTGTTTTTCGAGACAGTGTTTCTCTGTGTAATACCTCTGGCTGTCTTCGAACTCATTTTGTAGACCAGAGTGAACTTGGACTCACAGAGCTCCTCCTGCCTCTGCCTGGGATTAAAGGCTTACACCACCCTGACATAAAAATAATTTCAAAAATATGTAGGAGCCCTACGGTCGTGGTGGTCCCAAGAGAAGCAGGCAATCTTTATAAATTGATCTTTTAAAAAAGAAGCCAGAAATTACAACAACGTTTACCTAACCATGTCTCTCTCTCTCTCTCACACACACACACATACACACTATGAGATAGTAACCTTGTTATTCTCAAAAATTTACAGCTATTATATTGCAGAAATCGGAACAGAACCAGGTCTGTAAATTAGCTACTTTTGCAATTAAAACTTAATCAACTGTGGCCCATTTTGATGTGAATTTGAACAAATAGTAGTGTTATATTACCGTACTATTTGCTTTAACAGTTAGGCATCAATTACTTAAGGTCATGCAAATCCAGATATTTGCCTTCTATCATTCTAGTTCTGTAAACATACTAATCTTTAAATGAACTTTAAAACTAACAAATAGCTCATCTGAAAATTCAATGAAATAAGCCTAGATTAGAGTTGTGCCATTGTCGGTTAAAATACCAGTGCCCCCCCCACACCCCTTTTTTAATCCTGTGCTTTTCTTTGCTGACCTGTTTGGTTTTTGGTTGTCATGCTGTTATAAAAGGGAATGTCTGCTTAGGAGCACTTTGCATTATGGTTCTCTTCAGGTACCGTGTGGGAATGTTGATGTACACTTGTTACATTAGACATTCAGTTATGCATCTTCCTCCCATCTTTCCCTACTCTCAAATATTCTTAGTAGATACTTGATGACAATGAGCCATACTCAAAACTAATTGGCTAAGACATGGTATAAGTCTAAATGGTGTATGGAGAAATTATTACTGGACATTGTATACATGTACCAATTATGTACTCATTCCAAATGATACTATGTATCAATTATATACTCTACCTAAATGATGGTTTGTACCAGGTCCTTTGTATTGCTGGACCTTTAAGGTGCCTTCAAAATTGCTAGGTTGTATCTTGATTGATGGAGTCCTTGTCTACCATGCACAAAGTCCTGGATTGCAACCCCACTACCATCTAAAACTGGGTGTGGTAATGTATGTTAAGTAACTCCAGCACTGGGGAGTGGGAGGAGCCATAGCATAGCAAGTTCAAGACCCTCTTAGAACCTTGCCATAAAAAAAAAAAAAAAAAAAAAAAAAGGTAGAATGATAGTTAAAGAACATAATAACAAACCTTTAACTTATGGACATGAAAATATCATAGACCATATTAATCTTTTTGATTTGTTTATTTGTTTTATTTTTTTCAAGACAGGGTTTCAAAGTAGCTTTGGAGCAGGTGCTGGAGCTCACTGTATAATCCAGGCTGGCCTTGAACTCAGAGATCCATCTGCCTTCTGGGATTAAAGGCATGCACTACCACCTCCCAGCTGTATTAATCTTTTTATAGAAGATAAGACTAGAAAGAAAATGATTAAATAATTTTTCAAAGGTTAAGTAAGACCAAATGTGTTCGTTCTCCTATGCCTATGATACTAGCAATCAGGAGGTGAAAACTATTCTTGTGTGCATAGGAAATCCAAGGCCAGCCTGGGCTACCTAAGACCATGTGTCAAAAATAAGTTAGTCAGGACTGAAAGTCTGAAATAGTAATGGAAAATTTGGGGCAGGGACAAATAAAGCCTTGAAAAGGAGAATGGAAGCAAAACCAGAAAAATAGACAGTGGCAAGCATAGTTTGCTGCTAAACCCTTTTCATGAGAGGGAAGAGCAGGCTGGCCTCGAAATCACAGAGATCTGCCTCTGAGTGTTGGGATTACAGGCTTGGGCCACCATGCCCAGCTCTGATTTTTTTTTAAAAGGACATTTGTTTTTACTGTGTATATTCCACCAGTACTTGAACTATTTTTAGCATGCATGCATTAATAATTATTGCATGAAAAGTTCCTTTTACATAATAATTTAGCATTGTATTTTCAAACTGATATGTTGTAAGACATCAGTTATGTAACAAGGCCCCAGACTTAGTAGGCTCCTAGACTACTGACTCCATGGTAGAAGTGCCATTCAGGCCGTAAAACTCAGCACACAGACAGCACCACCTGCCAAACTAAAAGAGAGGCCTGATCCATCAAAGTACATACAGTTCTGGGGAAGTCTGTGACTATTCTAACCATGCTTTTTTGGCTTCTGTAGTTCTGCTTCTGGCTAACTGTTCTTGTTAACTGAAGTGCGTCAACCCAGAACAGGGTTTTTGTGTGTAAAAGCTCAAGCCCAGAAAAGCTCAGTGCTACACAGGGAACCCTATCTCAAAAAAGAAGGAAGGAAGGAAGGAAGGAAGAAAGAAAGAAAGAAAGAAAGAAAGAAAGAAAGAAAGAAAGAAAAAAAGAACGAAAGGGGAAGGGAAGGGAGAAAGGAAGGAAGGGAGGGAGGAATCTCCATCCTGCAAAGCTATCAAATGTATATGCTTTGAGAGGACTTTGCCATCCAGATGTTATTACTCCTGGATGCTTTTTTGTTTGATTGTGTTTTTTCAAGACAGGGATTCCCTGCGTAGCCTTGACTGTCCGGGAACTCCATCTGTAGACCAGGCTGTCCTGGAACTCACAGAGATCTGCATCTCGGAGTGATTTTGAGAAAGTAAAACAGGTAATTAGAGAGGGAAATTAACACAAGACTTTATTGTTTCCCCTTCACCAAAATCGCTACTTCAAGCTTCTGAAAACAAAAGGTTTCGAGATAAAATCCACAGGCACCTACATTCTTTGTGCTTCCTGTTTTTTCTTTCTTTGTGGACAGACACTTTGAGAGGATTAGAAGTGACAGGCTGCATTCCTTGGCAGAGCACAAACAGCACTGACAAGTTCATCTGATAGCTGCTGGTTCAGTGCATCGACCCTTTCTGTCCAGCGGTGAAAACAATCATATTCATTAACAATTACTTGATGCTCACAGTAAGGCATGCCTCCGTGCTTTGTGTGCCTCAGCCCTCTTCCCAGCCACCTGCACGCTGACCATGCTGATCAATGTGTTGGGGAGAAGGAGGGCAATGATACTTGGTGAGTGAGCAATGTGCAGTCGCCCAGGCGTTCTGAACAGGGAGGGGGCAAGCAGAGGGCAGCTACCCATCCTTTCTGTCTACCCAATAATAAAGGCAGAAGTACTTCTCCCACAGCCGTCCTGCTCCCATAGGCGGTGATCTGCTTCTCCTCATTCTGTTTTGTCTCACACCCTCGAATTGAAAGCCGATTCCCCTCATCTAATTGTATTTGATTTTGCCATTTTCTATCTAAGGTAGCGTAAGTTTTTTATATCCTTTGATTAAAAAAAAAAAAAGAGGTGAGACTACTTCCTGTATTATAGTGCAGTGACACTTTTGGAAAGTGGAGTGGTATCTATGAACTTGGTCTTTGGGTTAGTTTGTATTTACTATAACTGGACTCCGGTATGTTTCAAAGTGTCTGTCCACAAAGCATGGTGTTTTACATGTTATTCACAATGTTTTGAAAGTCTGATATCTATTTTTAACCTCAGTAAGGGTAGAAAACAAACGAAGACAGCAATTTGCCTTTAAACCAGCATGCTATCAGCTCAGTGTATAACACTGGGTAGCATGTTACCCAATGAAGAAATTTCATGATAAAATCAAAATATGGATATATGGAAGAAAAAAAATGGCAAAAAGGATCACTGGGGGGTGAAATGATTAACTACTGCCTTTGAGATATAAAACATCAATGTTGACCTTGAAAAATCATCACGTGGAAACAATCTCGAAATCGAACAAAACCAAAGCAAGAAATGTGACTAAAACTAATAGTCTGTTTTTGTGACGGGGTTTCTCTGTATAGTCCTGGCTGTCCTAGAACAGGCTGGCCTTGAACTTAGAGATCCACCTGCCTGCCTCTGCCTCCCCATCGCTGGTTTTGAAGGTGTGCACCATCACCACTCGGCCAACCAGCCTGTTCTTAATGTTAAAGCCCTCGAAGACAAAGCAAAGGGCTGGCTTAAGTTGCTCTTCCAGACAACCCAGCTCCCATGTAGAGGCTCACAACCATCTGAAACTCCAGTTCCAGAAGTTCTGATGCCCTCTTCTGGTCCCTGTGGCTCAAAGGCACACAGGCCACCGAGACACATAAAATACAAATTAATGGCCCTGTCGTGCTGACACACACCTTTAACCTCAGAACTCAGGAGGCAGAGACTGGCGGGATCTCTGTGAGTTCGAGGCCAGCCTTGTTCTACATAGTGAGTTCTAGGACAGCCAGGACTATGTAGGTAGGGACCCTGTCTCAAATAAGAAGCAAGCTAAAATGGCAATTCCTTAATTAATTAAAAAGACAAAGCAAGATTAGAGGAACCGGTCCAGAGCGAAGCAAACCACAAAAAAAGCAGGGCACCAAAGCGGTAGGTGTAGTTCTGGGTGGATCAAGAGACTAAAGCTGACTGCGGAGCGCAGGTCTAACAGTATGGTGTCCGTTGTTGAACTTCCTTGTGGTAACTACGTTGGAGTTATGTAAGAGGATAAGTGTCATTGCTCATCCAGTCTACCAATCAATAGCCTCTGGCTGCCGCCGCCGCCTCCCCTCCCTGCCTATTTAGCACGGTTATTCATGCCATCCATCCCTCCTGGGGCTTCACTCTCTCATCTCCTGAATCTTTTCCCCATTTCCCTTCCCGGCACCCTGTGCCTCCTGTCCAGCTGGTTCCTTGGTTTTAGTTGCCCCTCTGCTCTCTCTTGCCAGCTGGTTGTCCAGCTGTCTGGCACTCGGCCCTCTCTGGTTCTATCCACCTGTGCGTTTCTCGCCCGCCGCTCCAGGTGCTCACCGTGTGCCCCGGGCCCTGCTGCGCGTGCGTGCGTGCGCCTTGAACTCTTGGGCAGCAAGATCGCACAGTTGCGAGAAACTTCAGCGGCTTGGTTTTGGCGTGAGCATCGCATCCTAGCCCCGCGACCGATACTCGCGTGAGGCTGGGCCAGGTGACCGCGCTTTTGCACGATGGGCTGCTCCAGCAGCGCCCTCAACAAGGCGGGCGACAGCAGCAGGTTCCGTAGCGGAGGTGAGCAAGGACCCCGCACTGCACACTACGGCGGGGTGGGGGTGAGAAGTGGGGGGGGGGAGTCTGTGTGCTGGCTGCTCCAAGATCCAGCGGGTGCAGCCCTGGCTCAACCTCGCCAACAGGGGGCAAGTTCCTTCCTGGAGGAGAGCTCTGAAAATGAAATAAGTCCATCGAGGTGCGCCAGCTGCAGGACGCCTGGGCCAAGAGCTGGGTGCTGCCTTACCAGAGAGGTTCTTGGCGCTAAATTAATAACTGAGCTAGCTGCGACATTCGTTCACCATGCAGGTGAGAAAATGTCCCACTGAAAGTTCTATTCTGCTCTCCCGTGGACGTTTCGGCATTGCCAGAAAACAAAATGCAGACCACACACGTGTGCATCGCTTCCATATACAAGTTTCTTCCAGAGGTTTCAAAGAGGTCACAAACACTTTCCCCTGTTCCCGATTTATATATTCTCGAGGCATATGTGTACGATGAAAAGTAGTCATCACTGTTGTAAAGAAATTCTGCCAGCACAGTTTAATCATCTACTTACTGTACACAGAAGTTGGGAATGGAACATAAGCGCATGAGGCAAATTATTAAGCGCACCCTGACAGTGGTAAATACTGTAGAAAGAATACATGTACTCAGATGAACCCGAGGTGCCTGGGTTTCACACGTCTTAGATTATAAATTGCCAGCATTTTTAAAGTGGATTCTTGAGGCAGTTTATGGAGGCGACTTTTATCTTCTAATCCCCTTGTACTGGCATTAGCATCCCGCGTTACTGCAATGGCAGTGCTTTTTAATTGTTTTGTTTTGTGGCACAGACCTCAAGATTATCATGCAAGCTGCATCGGAGCTCAGTTAGTTTGTTCTTCTCAGAAATGCGTTGCTGTTGTTTTTGTGCTGTGCGACCATCGAGATTTCCGCCTTCTGTAGATGAGCAAAGAGCGAGGAAGTAGACAAAACTTAAAACCATATGTGCAAACAATTCAAATCTCCTGTCAACTGACAATGTAAAGACAGGGAAAGTCATTTATTCCTAATGCACAGTGCCTGCCGATCTTCCCCCTAAAAGAGTTCAGACCCCTCACACCTCAACAGGTTCTGCTAAGGCGTGCACTCAGAAATTGTTTTTGTGTTTAGTGTCTCGTTTTACAAAGCCAGATGGATTTTTGCGCTTGTCTCATGTAATTCCTTACCGGTATCTACATGAGAAACACAAGAAAAACTGATGCTTTCAGGAGATAACATCACAGTTTCTCTCATCCACTCTGGGTGGTGTCTTGGGTTAAAAAGCAGAGCACTTAGCTACAGTAGGTGTAGCTGAGTGGGAGAGCAGGTCGGCAGTATGCCCAAGGCCCTAGGCTTAATGCCCAGCACACACACACACACACACACACACACACACACACACACACTCTCTCTCTCTCTCTCTCTCTCTCACACACACACACACACACACACACATTCTCACACACCAGGAATGTTAACTCAAGGAGTGGCAAATGTATCTAATCGATAGAATGGGGGCTTTACTTCTCTTATTTAGAAGATATTTGATCACTGTATTAACAATTCATATGAGTTAGCTCTAGTTTTTTAACCCTTGCTTTCTTTTGTCGTGAGTTTTTTGTGAATGTGGTTCTGGAAAAAAATGTTAAACACTTGCCAATAAATTGGAGTGTATAGAAAATCGATTAATATGTAGCATTAATTGTTCAAAACATATACTTAATAGACCAACACATGTATTGCCACCGAACCTCCATGGGACAGTACACTAGTAATCGAATACTATTGTATGTTTGGCATTTCAACTTTGTGATCTTGGTGGCCTTATAAATAATTCATTCCTCTCTGTACAGCTTAAGATTTCTTTAGATCCTAGATACAACCCAAGCCAGTGTATTGTGCTTTTAGATAAAAGTAGTCCAAGTTTATTAAATGCCCATCATATGCAATCATTAACTGCATGCTATGCTCCAGTGCCTAACAGTGTTTAGTGTGTAATAGGCTCTTGGTGAAAAATGGAGTCGAGGAATTCCCATTGGCAAAAATGCAGGGTTATAAAGGGAATGGCAGTTAGGCTAGAATGTCAGGAGACTATGAAAGACTACCAAGCTCTCACTCCTTCTCTCCATTCCTAAACTATTACATCAGAAACTTTGCAGGATCCCACCAGGTCCCACTGTGAGAGTGCTCTTAAATCAGATCCCAAGACCTTCTTTTTTACATGCAAGGTCTGACCTGGAACTCAACGTTCTTCTCTCATAGTGGTGTCATACCCCTGGGCAGTAGGAATGAATGAAATGGATCATGTGTGGTGTTGAATAGAAAATAAGAAATCAGAGGTGTAACTCAATGAGTTCATCTCATCTGTGACCGAGACTGTGCAGGAGGCTCAAGGGTTCCTAGAACAGTATACTGCTTGCAAGTTGAGGACTTGGGAGGTCTTGGTCAGAAATCTGATGGCACCTCCTATATTGTCAAACATGGTGCCTTTAAGACATCTCCCAGGGATGGTGGAGAATGATTTATAGCACTGGCTACTCTTACAGATGACTGAGTTCCATTCCCAGCCCCAACATGGTGACTCATAACTAACTATCACAGATGCTAGGGTTCCAATGCTCTCTTCTGACCTCTTGGGCACAGCATGAACACGGTGCACATACATACATGCAGACAAAACACTCGTCCATATAAAACAAAATACATTTTAAAAAGTAAACAACATCCAAATAAGCTGCTCATAAAGCAATCTGTTGAATTTTTGTTGTTTAACTACAGTATGGGAAAACCCTGCTTTGACAGTTTGTCCTTAGAAGTGGTCCTGATTAGGTTTTTTTATTTTGTTTTTATTTTGTCAACTTGATACAAGCTAGAGTCATCTGGCCGGGCATTGTGGCGCACACCTTTAATCCCAGCATTCAGGAGGCAGAGGCAGGCAGATCTCTGTGAGTTCGAGGCCAGCCTGGTCTACAAAGTGAGTTCCGGGACAGGCTCCAAAGCTACACAGAGAAACCCTGTCTCAAAAAAAAAAAAAAAAAAAAAAAACAAAACAAAACAAAAAACAAACAAACAAAAAAAAGAGTCATCTGGGTAAAAGAAACCTCAGTTGAGAAAATGCAGCCAACAGATTGGCCTGTGGGCAAGCCTATGGGACATTTTCATGATTGCCAATGTAGGTAGGCCCAGTTCATTGTGGGTGCGGCCACCCCTGGGCAGGTGGTCCTGGATTACATAAGAAAACAGGCTGAGCAAGCCACGGGGAACAAGCCAGGAAGCATCGTCCCTCCATGGCTTCTGTCTCAGTTCCTGCCTCCAGGTTCCTGCCCTCAAGTTCCACCCTGACTTCCCTCAGCAATGAGCTGTGATCTAAGAATTGCAAGCTGAAATAAGCCATTTCCTTCCCAAGTTCCTTTTGGGCATGATGCTTACTTATCACAGTAGTAGGAACCTTTCGTGAGGCAGTAGTGTTCCACAGTGGAAATGAAAGGTACAGTATGTATATGATTTGGGAGAGCTGAAGCTGGGCGTGGTGATGGAGCACCATCCTTAGCGTTTACAGTTTAAGCATCAGTGTGGATGAAAGAAATAGATGGTAATTATCCGGTGCATTCTTTGCTGGATTAATGTGTACATTTCCAATGGCAGCTACAATCCTCGTCTGTTTGTTCTAGCCTGAATTTCACTAGCTGCTTGGAGCCGCTTCCGTAGGCAGTCAGGGAGGTTTGCATTTCACATGGTAAGAGAATGCTCATTGTAAACACTTCAGCCAATGTTTTCACAGGGTGACAATTCAATCTTAATCAGATTATTGTTGTGTAATTGAAGAGCATCGCTAAAATTAACATTGATTTGTGTAGTGTTTTTCTTCCGTACAGATAATATATGAAGGACATTTCTTTTTTTCTTGAGTGTGCCAGAAGTCTCTGGATTGAGATTTGAATGCTCAGAATGTCTTTGGCATAGACCTAGGTATCACATATGGCTACGTTAGACGAAATGTAGAGAATGTAGATATGTGACTCAAAATGTGAAGATTTTTGAAAAAAATGTGGATGAAAAATATTGTCATCTCCACTCAGCCCAGTGTCTTTAGTCGCCAGTGTAAGGGTTCAGGCATTATGCTGGCCTGCCCCTGTCACCTGGCAGAGTCTGCTCAGGCAGTACCCTGGTCAGCCCAAGTGCAAAGGACCCCTTTAAAAGACAGACCCCCCCCCCCCGCCCACCCACTCTTTCCCTCTCTTTCCTGCTGTTCCTCTGGGGCAGACAGGACTTTTCCTGTCTCCCTCTTCTCTTCTGTCCTCTGTGTCTTTACCTCTTTTCTCTTTCCTCCCCCTTCCCTCCCCTTCCTAAGAAAACTTCTCACTAAGCTCGGTCTGCCCGGCATGTTTGACCCTCTGTCACCCTCGCCAAGGCTCCCCCACGAGCCTTATCTAACAGCCAACATTTATTAGCTTAGGTGCTTTCTTGTTGGTATGTTTTATTTTGTTTTAAGCTCTCGCTCGCTCCAGCTCAGGCTGGACTTGAACTCACTGCAAGGCCACGGTGCCCTCCAACCTGTGCCAGACCTGTCTCAGCGCTCCAAGTGCTGAGATTACAGGCACGCCAGCCCTACACAGGCAGGACTTCGTTTGTTTGTTTTCAGTTGTTTATTTGTTTTTGTGTATTTTCCCCTTGAGTTCTCTTTTTATCCTTCATTATTGGTATTTTCCCCCCTTTTACTGTAAAACAGATTTTCTTCCTCACATATTATATATGGTTTTCCCTCCCTCTACTCCTCCCGGTTCCTCCCCATCTCCCCCCAACCCGGATCCACCCGGTTTCTGTCTCCTGTTAGAAAACAAGCAGGACTATAAGGGATAATAATAAAATAAAATGTATTGCAATAAGATGAAACAAAAGCTAACACTTCAGTGTAGGACAAAACAGGATGGAAAGAGCCCAAGGAAAGACACAAAAACAGATACAGATGCAGAGACACACTCGAGTGTTTGCACACTCAG